CAGCGAGAGTCTCCTGGCTCAAAGCGCACCCGGCAGGAAGGGCACGTTCTGCACAGAGCTAAATGACCACAGTAATGCAAAGCTTTCACTTCGAGGCATGTGACTTCTTTGATTATGCACAGAGGACAAGGTTAGAAAATACCAGTGTTAGGGAAGGGTTTGGTTCTGCTGCGTTCCACCTGCAATACTACACCCAAACCTTTGCATTTACATTTTAAAGAAAAGTCTTCACAAATACTTTTGTATTCAAGAAAAATATATCAATAAACTTGAAGAAAAATCAGAGCATTCCATCGCTTTCTCATTTCTTTTTATGGTATGAAGTCAGAATACCACAGTCATTCCAGCCACCAAAAATTCCAGGCTTCAATGATTTTCTTCCCAGAGCTGCAGTGTTAATGGAGCCAACTTCTTCCGAGTGTGTTCCAGCCACTGAATGATACGAGTTGCTACTTTCCACATCCMTAAGTCTTATTTTGCAAAGTCCTCCCCTAGCTATTTGAGTAGGGCAAAACTGCAGCTCYATCTTAGCTACAGGTAAGAGCTAAGAGTCAACAAGGGGCTGACAGCTGCCTCCTGGAAAGCAGAAAGCCAAGTTCGAGCTGCATTTCCCTCTGTAGGGCAATAACAGGGGCTCTCATCCAAATACTGTTTCACAAAAGGCGCAGAAACTTGGTGTCCTTGACACTTCTGCTCTCCTGCCACATTTGGCCTAACTGAGCTAACAGCTTCAGGAGTAGCAGGAGGAGAGACGAACTGAAAGGAAAGTCACTTCCTTAGGTGATAACTTAAGCTTTGCTTTCCTAGTTGCTAACATTATGTCAACAACACAGGGGATTTCAGTGTGTTATGACCAGAAACCATCAYACATGTGAAGGCCTTGAACAGATATAATCACTGCTAACTCCAGGCCAGGGAACGTATAGACTTTGACTATGCTAAGTCACCTTCACCTCATAATGTTTGCTCTCTTATCTAAGTGCTAGCACCCATATGTGATATGAAAGAGATTCTGAAACATAAATACACTGATACAGAGTCAGTTACAACCACTTCATTTTTTTTTCTGATTGAAAATGCTCCATCTCTCAACTCCATGCCACAATATATTCTTTTCATTTCCCAGCCTATGAAACAGTTTTGCAATACTGACAAACTTGCAAACGAGCCTCTAGAAAAGCCCTGCAGAAACCCAGCCTGTCTGCTAGTCCCTGGGGGAGCACCRGTTATGTACATATTATTTCCATTCCATCAGCTGGAATATTTTGCCTCCCTTTCTCCCACAAACTCACTGGCAGAAGTTAAAGGGGGTTTTAGAAACAAYTTGTATCTTTTGGGGTTGATTTGGGGTTTGTTTGGTAGTTCTAGGCTTATTTTAGACTATTTGCAAGATATACCAGAATATTAGTTAATACGTGAGATTAAGAAAGAACATGATGCAACAGCCAGCACAGCTAGTTGCTTGCATACAGTGTACTGATTTAGCCCTGGAAAAAACAGTCTTTTCATTTTCCCTGCAATCCACTTCCTGATACTGCAATTTAAAGTTTTGTTAGAACATCCAATCTAACTTTCTCAAATAATGGATAAAAATGGGGGAAAATTATTCAAATTGGTCCAATTCATTTTTCAGGAGTTTACAAACAGCCCTGTTCTACCACTTCTTTAACCCAAACTACAGGTGAGGCCCAAGGACTGCCTAAAACCTCATGTATAGCTTCCAGGTAATTTTCTCTGAGGCACTTTTTTTTTYCCATCATTACTGAGATCAGCTGTGTCCTGCTCCCTTTGCCTTGTCTCTCCTCCCTTTGAGACGCCCAGTGCAAAATGAATTTTGAACTGGTAGAACAACTCCTAACCAGAAAGCATTTCAAATCMATTAAAATGCATTGGACTATATTGGACCAAATCCAACATAGGTTCTTTTGTCTTTGGTCCTCATTGAGAGTTTCATCTATACCTGTGTTTTACTGATCCATATTCCGCATCTTTGGCTTCTCTTTTCCTTGCCAGATACAGTCAGCAAATTAATAGGGATCTTTTCCATTTTCAAATGCAGGACCTTCCTGAAACCTGGTTTAAAAACAKGTTTCACCTATTCTCATCTTTCTTTTTAAGTACACCTATCATAGCTTCAGTTCCTAAGAGGTAGAAAATACTCAGAACTGGTAGGTTCATCTTTTCCTTTCTTTTTTCCCTTGACCTGGCCATTTCTCTAATGAGCACTTAGAAATGTGTACGATTATTCATTATGCATCTTACTCACTAAAATGAAAGACGATAATCAGTCTGATAATCAGAAATATAATAATGGCTTTCCAGATTCTGGAGTGATATGTATTTCCAGTCACTATCTCCATTCAACAAATTAAGTGTAAAATTACAGAGGCTCTGGTTTTTTTTTKTTTTTTTTTTTTAATATGTTTGGTCTAATAGCTACCACGTTGTGCCAGGTTCCACTTTTCTCTGTGTTTCACAGATGCTGTTCAATAGCCAGATTCCTATTATTGTTGATTTAAATGCCCAGACTAAGTGCTGTGAAGCTGATGCATTTCCAAGCTCTTCCTCATGTGTGAGCTCCTATCTTAAATCATCTCACTCTCTCCCAAACTGGGAAAGGCAATTTCACCATCTGTCATGGTCTGTGCTGGCCAACACGTTATTTATAACCATTCTTTCTGCATCCAAATTCTTTCCAACACCAGCTTCTAACAGAACTGCTACTCTCAAATTTTGCCTTGTTGCCAAGACTGTCCCTGCTGATGGACTACATCTCTTTCTAGTTGTTCAAAAATACCACATACTTATCCCATTTCATCATACCCTTTAAACACAGAGCTGGCAAGGATATTGAAAATTTTCTTCTTAATGGCTATATTACTCTGGTGAAGGGGAAAAGTCACGGTTCACAGAAATTTCATTGCTTTGCAGACTTCCAATGCTTCTTTTCACTGAGCTTGGTACATTTTTAAATCTATAAATTGGCCCTCCAGCAGTGGACTGTGATATCCTTGCTAGTAGTATCTTCTCACAGCAGGAATGCAAGTCTTACATGTCTTCTAACAAGCTTCTTTTCCCCTTTCCTTCTGGCACAGCACTGGGCCCTTGACTGCTTTGTGAGATAGCTGCTGCCACCTTGTATATTAAGCTTGCAGATAATCAGGTTAAGTCACTTCATTTATAAGAACAAGTAGTTCTGTGTTATCAGCACTCAGCCACTGTATGTAGCTGCTGGAGATACCGTGTTGTTTTTTTCTTTTTCCAGTAACCCAGTTGCACAGTGAGTTAATGTCAATCCAGAGAGTTTTTCCTTTTATCTCCCTCTCCGCTCATTGAGACAGTAACTATTTGTATGGTTATAGCTTGGCATTTTCTCTCCTGCTGCCATAGACTCAAACAGAAAAAAAAGAAACACATGAAAATCTTTTCTTACTAAAAGRTTTTTTTCCTGGCTCCTCTGCCCATCCTGCTTGCTGATTTCCAGGAGGCATGAGACCTCCAGTTTCCTTCAGGGGCTTATTTTTAGCTCCCTCAGACCCAGTTCCAGCTTCCCAGTCAGGAAATTACAAAAAGACCAAAGGTTTCCTGATCTCCACCATTCCCTTCCCTGACGCAGTTTCAGACATTTCTTCTGGTCCAGTCTTTGGTTGGATTTTTACCTTGCCAAGCCTAGAGCGGGAATTTTAACTTTGGGACTTTTGGATTTGCRCCTTTCAGACGTATTTTATTTCTGGTTGCTGTCAATTCCCTATGGATTCCTGAAGCAAAACTTCCCATCTGGCTTGCAAAACACCCCGTGTTCCCCTGGGCGCTCTCCAGGCCTGCTCTCCACTGCTCCAGGACGTTTTTATATCTGACACCGCAGCTAACGCCTTCCGCAGGGCACTTCAAGGAGCAGCAGCCTTCCGTGCACCTCCCGGGGAACCGTAGGGAATAAAAAYAACAGAAACAACCTGGCAGCTCCTCAAACACACCCGCGTGTCCAACGGCCCAGCCAGTGCGGACCGGTTCGCTCCAGTCCGCGGCGCCCCCTGGCGGCCGCGCGAAGCATGCGCAGTGCCCACGCGGGGCGGGGGGAGCATGCGCAGTGCYCAGGCGGGGCGGGGGGAGCATGCGCAGTGCCCAGGCGGGGCGGGGGAGTGCATGCGCGCGCCTGCGCGCAGGGAGCATGCGCAGTGGCGCCGGGCCGCCGCCATGTTAAAAGGGGAACGGGAGGCACGAAGGAGTGGGCTGTGGGAATTGCTGCTTGGGAATGTGGAATTGCRTCCTCGGCAGCTGAAGGTGTCTCGTGTCACTGACTGATTTTTGTCTACACTGGGTACTTTTAAAAGCGACAGGACTTCAGTACTGTGGTGAAGCAGCTGCTTATAGCGAGGGGGCAATTTTGGCAGCGARGCCACTGTCCTGCTTGCTGCCTCACGCATGGCACCGCTTATGGTGGTGCCATAGGAAAAGGAGCAATGCCACAAGAAGAGAGAGATGCTCAAAAGCATGAAATGAGTCCAACCCTGCATTAAATGCTGCCCCTCATAAAGGCTCCTCTCACCAGTGCTGCCTGCCTGCCCGCCCACCTGCATGAGGGGATTGAATCCCTCCTAACTCGATTTAAGATACGTCACCCAATGTGAAAGCTCCGGGGAGGCAGCAATGCCATCCTGGCCCGCAGGCCCCAGCTGCCAGCAGGAGATGTGCGTTGGTGCGAGGTGCCCCTGCTCCACCAGCCGCTCGCGGAGCCTTTCGGTGACAAGGCAGCGCCGCGGGAGCCCAGGAGCGAGCAGGAATGAACGGAAAAGTCGCGGCCCCGCCAGCCGTTCGCTTCCCCCGYGGCCATGAGCCGCCGCTTCCTGTGCCCCCAGCGCCGCCGGGATGACTACAACTCCCAGGATGCCTCGCGCACGGGCTAACCTAGCGTACCTGCGCCGCGGCAGGGCCCGCCCCCCAGCCCTGGTTCGCCCAATGGGAGGCAGAGGAAGGCGCCGCGCGGGGTGGGTTGCGCCCGGCGGCGGCAGGGGAGGCCCCGGCGGCGGCTGCGGCGGCGGGAAGCGGAGTCGGGAAGCGGAGTCCCAGGCCCGGCGGCGGCGGGGACGATGCCGGTGCATTCCCGGGAAAAGAAGGAGAACAACCACGATGAGATGGAGGTGGACTACGGCGAGAACGAGGGCAGCAGCTCGGAGGAGGAGGAGACCGAGAGCTCGTCCGTGTCCGAGGAGGGGGACAGCTCAGGTACCGCGGCCCCCGCGGCGGTTTCCCCGGGCCCGGCGGCCGTTCCCGCCGCCGCCGCCTGCCCCGAGGGGAGAGCGGCCGTTCCCTGCCCCCCTCCCCTCYCCCTTCGGTGGCACCGGGCCCGCCCCCACCGCGGCGCCGCCCCCGCGTTCTCCGGCCGCTGAACCGAACCGAACCGGGCCGGGCCAGGCCGGGCCGGGCTCAGCCGGGCAAGGCTCCGCTGGGCTCGAGCGTGCCGCCGGCGGCGGGAGCCGCTCCCCATGGGCCCTCGCTCGAAGTGTAACGTGCGCAGCCTGGTTCTCTGTTKTTACTTAAGATATCGCACATCTCGCCTTTGCACAAGATGGTGAGCTTTAGTGGAGCTTYGTTTTTCTTCTGTTTGCCGCTTGAGCGCTGCCTCTGAAGGGAGGGGAGGTTGGACGTGGTGGCAGTGCCGTGTGCCGCTGCAGAGCGTTTGTGCCTCTGCTCTGTCGAACTCCCTTCTCCTTTCCGTGACTTCACCTGGACTCCAGGCACAGGCTAGTGTGTGAAACCCGGGCTTTAGAAGGGCTGCCTCTTTTCCAATTTTCTCTGTGTTATAAGAAAGTTATGTTTTCCAGTGTTCCTTGTAATTCTGAGGATTGAATTATAAGTTGGCCTGAGGAAATACTGAGTATCAAACACACTTATTGCTAGCCTCAAAGCATGAGGGCTACTTGGAGAGGTCTGTGCAGGTTCACTAGCAGTGTTGGAAAGGCACTGAGAAGCTCTGGTCTGTTGGGTGTTTTTTTTTTGTTTGTTTGTTTTTGTTTTTTTTTTTTTTTTTGGTACTTTAGTCTGCTGTGATCCCAGCCCGCACTTGTACCTGCGTGCCGCCCAGTTGTGTGGGTGCCAGTGTAACTCAAAAGGAATAATTTTCTTCCAATTTACTATGTGTCTGTTACTTGGAGAGGCATCAGGGACTGCACAAGCCAGCTATTGGATTGGGTTCTGCTGTAAGGATCTGTAAATGCCTCTGACTTTAATTAGTCTTGACACCYGTGTATTTTTGTGAATTTGGGACTAATGATTTACATGGATTTAGGTAAGAGGATATTTTAAATTCTGGCCTGTTCCCTTTTTTGAGGGAATACCTTTCTTCTGTTGTTTAAGTGCAGGAGATCTCTTTCGAGTGGTAAGCTGTGGACCACATCCAGATATGGGCCTACAAAATAGGTAAAACTATTATAAACACAACTTTATTGAGGTCTATATAAGCAAATCATCTGGCAAAGTAAGAATAGATAAGTAGTTCAGAGTAGATAGTGCAGACACCTCTTCATCTCCAGAGTATGTAGGGTTTAAATTCAGATTATGTAGCCTGGTAGTCTGAATCAGTTTGTTGGAGACCACCTCRAGGGCAGATGATTGTTTCAAATCCTTTTGTTTCCCGTAGACGTTTTAGCACATTTGAAAACAACCTGCAATGAAGCTTTAGAATCAATTTGATGGGTAAATAATTTGTTGGTAGACACAAAACATGTTGCAAAGTAACTGAGTGCATGCAAAGCTGGGCCAGCCGTGGGGCAGTCTTCAAAACTGCAGTGGGCCTGTGCTGAAACATGAGGGTGGGCCCAGCATTCGTGAACAGCTGGGCCCAATTAGTTGCTCCCTGCCTCCTTTCTGTCAAAATGATGCAGCTTAAACTACATCAAAAAAAGGTGCTTAAATTATCTTGGGTTGCCAGGCTGCAGCATCCACATGTTCTGGTGGTTGTGCTGGAAGAAAGGCAAACTTGAGCGAGGGGATGGGGACAAGCAGCTGGAGGTGAGGTGGCCGTAGCTTCAACTGAAAAAGTGCATTTGCTTATGGCCTAGTTTGACAACAGCCTGCTCTGTTCATTTTAGATATGACTTAWTAAAAAATTGATTCTTTCATATCAGGAAAATTTTGGGATAAACAGGCAGAAACAAATTCTAGCTACAGAGCTCCCTAGTCAGCCTGTCTTCAGTTTTCAGCTTGCTAAGTTGTCTGGGGGTGCTCATTCTTAGTTTGGTCACAGTAAGATAGGAGTCATGTCTTTTGTGTGTGAGAAAGGAAACTTGATACGAGAGAGGTAAACTAAACTCCTTTTTCAACTGCCTGGATCTAATGAAAGGAGAATTGGTTTCTGATGTTTCCAGCCACTGACTTCGAGGTTGATTCCTTTCAAAAACTTGAATTCCAATAATTTCTACTGTATTACAGTAGGAATTACAAGAAAAAATGTTTTTGAGGAAAAAATATAAATAGCAACGGCTACAAGAAATTACATGCTTATCTCAATGTCTTGGCAAATATGAACATACCCCCTGGAAGCATATTGCTTCCACAATGTAGGAAGATAAGCACAGTAAGAAATATATCTTAAATATTTTGATTTTAATTATTTTAATTTCTTCTTTTTCTTATTGAAGGGCAGGACTCTCTTTGTTGTTGTTAAATCTGTCCTTTTATTTACTTTTAACTTAACTGATGTGTAAGAACACACTGACCATCCCAGATGAGGATTTAGACATTTTTTGGAACACTTCTATGTAGGCCACAGCTTATAGAGAAGTTATTTTAGGTGCTGTTACATTTTAAGTACTAGTTCCTTCTCTTTTTGCCTTTAAACCAGGCTGCTCTAGTTACTCAGCTGGACTAGTTGGATATAGTAGGAAAATAATAACTCTTTTAAAATAAAAATTGCCTCAAATACTTTGTGCAGTGTGAAAATTTATGGGAACAATGAAATCTTGAGACAATCTAGGCCTGTTAGGTAGTATCTTAATATAAAACGAGGAACACTTTGCCTCTAGCGATGCAGTTGTTCAACAGAAAAACTCAGAGATTTGATCTTAAAGCTTCTCAGTTTTCAGGASCGAGTATTTTCTAATTTGTGTTTTGTTTAATGCTTTTTGGAAGAAGCGATGGGACCTTGTCTGTTAAGTATGAATCCTACTGGAAGTGGTTAATAGGCAGAATAGAGGTGAGATGACCAGAGCTTGATTTTTAGCGTGTGAGTTGCCGTTCAGTGTTCTTGACRGGTAGATTGCAGCCCTGCAGGTAGAAATACCCCTTACCCCGCAGGGGTATTGCACTGATCCTCAGAAAGGGTTAAAATTCTGCTCTGCTTGCTTTTATTTGTAGTCCCAAGACAGGCACAAACAATAAAATCCACATTCATTTCAGATGAAACTTCTGAATGAGTTTGTTTCTGAAACTTATTCAGAGCCTAAAGTGTAGCTGGAAACATATGGAATGAATTAAAGCTTGAAAATAAAGTCGGAGAACTATCTCCATCCCAGTGCTCATTGCTGTTTGGCCTCATGAGAAGATTCCTTCAAATTTTGGAGAAGTCTTATTTTTATTGCATGTAAATACTTTAGACATCTTGTAAAGTTGTATGACTGCCACATTGCTTAAATCTGGCCAAGCTGAAAGCTGCCCAGTGAATTTTGGCTTCAATATTACTTTGGACAGCCAAAAAAAAATGCTGTGATTTAATAGGATTTTCAGYCTTTCTTTGGGGTTTCAGAGTTTGTCATATTCTTGAAAGCTAATTATAAAATAATATCTTAAGAGCCTGATATATTTCTGCCCCTGCCCCCTCCCAGTGCACTGAGCGTTAAAGGCCTTCAAAACAATAAGTTTAAGTTAACTCTACTGTCCGATGTTTTGGACTATACCATGTTGTAAAGTTCTGTGGAGGCTTTGTCTTTGTTCCTCCTGCCTGTACTGTGATGAGCGGCAAGAGGCCTTTGACTTGGCCTCCTGAGTGCTACAGCAATACAGCTGAATACAGCTCTGCTGCCGGTTRGGTTTCATATCCATGCAGAGAGGGCTGATGTGTTACTTTTCCTCTGGAAAGCTTGTGATACTTTCTACAAATGCTTTTTTATTGACATTATCAGGCATCAAGGAGAGGGGAAGGTCTCAGTTAATTGGCTCCTCACAGGCAGAGAGCTGATAAGCAGCCCCTGAAGCAAATCCTTTCAAAACACCTTTGAAAATTGCCATATTCTCTTGCAAAGCAATTAAGGATGGATGAAGACTTGAATGAGTGTAAAGCTGTTAGGTTGAGGGAGCAGCAGAGGAGCTCAGCGTTGTTTATGGCCTAGAAGAGAGTCCAGACCATCTCTACTAGGTTCCAGATCCCTCTTTACCTTTCCATGAGGATCGGTGGTTTTTCTTGGCAGAGTAACCACTTAGTTGGACTACACTTGGACCTCTGCCAAGTGGCCTCTTTGCCKCAGGTCAACCCCAGCTCCTTCCCGCTGTGGGGCCTGGTGCTGTAAGCAACCATGGGCTACTTAATGTTTGCCGGGAATACTTGGCGCTTCTCCCGAGGGATGCGAGGCTGCCTGGGAAGGAGCTCTGGCTTGAGCGCCACTGGCACCACTGCAGCCGTTAGAATGGCCTTCATGCTGTGGAGRGGCTCAGGAAGGAGCTAGTGCCATAGAAATGGAAAGTTTCGCCATTGCCTTTGCTCTTAGGAGGCAACTCTTAGGAGATGAGAGAGTTTAACACCAAAATGTTAGTTTAAAGCTGAACTCTCATRTTTCATGCTTGCTGCACGGCAGCAGGAAAGTGCACGTCCCCTATGTTTGGCAGTCTTCTATTGTGTGCTTGTTGTATTCATCTCTYAAGATATTTTTCCTTTTATCCTTTCAAGAACTGCTTTGGTAAATCTAAGAAAGAGCAACAATGAGATTCACTATGAAGAGCAATGAAATTCTTTGTTTTGRGGAACTCCTTCCTAACTTTTAACTTATCTTCTTTCAGTGATGAATTAGGTAAAAGGCAAATAATTCTTCCTTTGATTCCCCCCTCCCCCAAAACAAACAAACAAACAAAAAACAAAACCCAAAAGTTCTAATTCAACTTTTTGAAGTATTTGCCTGACAGTGAATGAGTACTGCTACTTTTTACTACAGTTATGATTTTTGTTTCCTGACCTGAGAAAAAGCTGTGGGGAAAAGTAGTTTTGTTTACTAAGTGGCTAAAATTTAACCTTTTTTATTATTTTTTTTCTTAGAAATGGATGATGAGGACTGTGAAAGAAGAAGAATGGAATGTTTAGATGAAATGTCCAATCTTGAAAAGCAATTTACGGACCTTAAAGACCAGTGAGTATTTTTAACAATCGGAGTCCCCCCTTTGGGGATCCCTTCTGTCAGAATAATGTGTGCAAGGGCTAARAGTTTCCTTTTCATATTTGTTGAAGAATAAGCCAGGAGTTGTGAATTGATCTGGTGGTGGTTACTCCAGAATGCCTTTTTTTTTTTTTTCTTTGTGTGAGGCTGTGATGGGAATTAATCTAACTCTTGTTTTGCCATAAGAATCCTTGTGACCCGCCGCCATGAAGGGTTGTGTGAGGACTGTGAAGCCAGCAAATTGCTTTAAATTGCAAGTTATGTYGGCTGAATGCAAGTCCTGCACAGGGTGTATCCCCCTTGAACAGCCTGCAGGTTGAGGAGGGAGGGCATTTTGCTGTGTGACCGTTGCTGCATTATGCTTGAGCTGTGGAGTTGTTCTGAAAACAATGAGCAGGCTGGCGGCAGATGAGCAGCCACTGTTTTTCAAGTAGGTTTGCATGCATCATTCTAATACATGAACTTTTTCCTACATAGGAAAACTTAGCTTAGACAGCTTAATTTTAAAAAAGGAATCTCCCTGCCCCCAAACAGGGTGATTCATAAGAGTTGGTAAGTTCTGCTGTGTTCTTGAGCGTGTAGCAACTGTGTTGTGTGTTGCCTTAATGCTACAGCTTTTGATAGTAGAGAGCATAGTAAAAGTAAATACAGGAAGACTTGATTATACTGAAGATTCTGCCATATAACACTTTGTTTAAGTTAACAGTTGTAAAGAGTGGCACTTTATTGTGATCGACATGTTTGTAGTAGATACGGAATCAAATTCTTCAAAATGTAAGCAAGTTTCTTTACATTGTCTATCAGTAAATATTAACTTTCAAAGAATGACTCGAGTAAAATGTAAGTACTTAATATTAAAACCTTAATAAGCAGAAATAGTTTTATTATTATTAAAATTTAGTAAGAATAGCTGATGTCAGTTACAAGCTATCCCATGAGAGTGCTTCTTCTAATTTGTGCTTCCTTTCAAATAAAGTTCTTTTTGTTGTTGTTGTTTTAAGACTTTACAAAGAAAGATTAAGCCAAGTGGATGCAAAACTACAAGAGGTCATAGCTGGAAAAGCACCTGAGTACTTAGAACCATTGGCAGCTTTACAAGAAAATATGCAAATTCGAACAAAGGTGGCAGGTAGGCAGATAAAATGAGTGTTTCTGTTTTAATGATCTGAACCTGATAGGCATTTGTAAGACTCTTTTTTCTTTTTTTTTTTTTAAACATAAGTATTTGCCAAGTCAAAATGCTTAGTTGCTTGTGTCGTTTCATGAGTTACCTGACAACATCACACCAAAAACATGGCATACTTGTTTTTCATTTGATGTCTGTCTCTTTGCCTCGTTAGCAGAAAGTTACTGAATTAATAACAGTCATTGTTGTAATTAGAAAATTTGGGATTAGGTCTGCCTCTCTCTGTAACAGATGAAATGAAACGATGACTAGATGTCATCTAATGAAGTGCTGGCTGGGTCACTCTTGTCATCTTAGATGCTCTTGTTTTTCCTGTTCTTCTAGTCTGTTTCTTTTCTGCTYCTCTATTTCCATCTCCCTGTCCCAGTCTGAGGAAGGAGGAAAACTCTTTTAAGTAGCAGATTTTCTTAGCTGTGCCTTCAGTATTGAAGCTTTTATAGTGGAAGAAGATGCCGTCAAGAATTTATTCTTCAGGACATCATACAGTCCTGTGGAATCTCAGTGTTCTAGGTAGACCAAGTTTTSTTTTCTGCCCCGCACCCCAGCAATTCAGCTGTCTCAGGGCTACCTGACACAGGCAGCCTTAGAGGGTTAGCTTTCTGTCAGGCAGCTGGAAAAGTTAATGCCAATGTCCTTCCTAAGAGATCTGTTAGAAGCACAGTGTCACCAAACTATAAAATAACAAACCTGTTTATGCTTTTCATAATACTGGTGCTACTTCAGTGCTACTCCATATGTCCTCCTTGGTGCTTTTGACTTCAGGCTGTGAAGAGAATTAGAAATCTTTTGGTGTGTGCCGTTCCTACCCTACCTCTTGTCTGTCCCATAGAGCTCTCCATACTTTGGCTGAGTTTTTTAAGATCTTTATCTCAAATGAACCCAACACTTCTTCAATCCTTGCTAGTCTCCCCCAGCTTCACAGAGAATTCCCAGATGGTTTGATGTAAAAGGTATCCTAATCCAGTTTTAAATTTGACCGTCAGTACTTTCCTGTAGGTGGGTATGGAGAGGAAGAATGTTTGATTCTCCTCATTCAAAATGTAGAGTGGGCTGAAGGTCCATGTTACAATGTATAAAGTACACAGGGTAAAACGTTACACAAGTTTTTTTGACACTAGTTACAAATCATTGATACTTTTTTTTTTCTTGTTTTTTATTCCTTCCATCAACTTAATCAGAGACAGAAAAAATCTTCTGGAGAGACTCAGGTCATAAAATCAAGAAAATGCAGAGCACAGGCTTATTTGCTCTTACCATGTGAACCAGGGACTTGACAGAAGTGGGTAGTAGCAGGGCTTGAGCTCCAGCAAGTAATCACAGAGGACACCTCTCTGCTTTAGAGAGGGGAAGAACAAAGTAAACTTAGCTGAATTATGAGTATAATTGCTTCTGTGATGGAAGAAGGCCTGGCTTTCTTTTTTTGCCTTTCAGACCAGCAAGCTTGATGCACACAAAATGTGGATTGTGGCTTTCTCAGGAAGTCGAGGACGTCTAGCATTCATGCCCACTCTGCTTGATTTCAGGAAATTAAGCAGTGGTTTTAAATTGTTAGACTTAAAAATGGCAGCCAGCCTGGGGTGCTAAAGGAGTGGCGGGGGGGGGAAACAGAATGCCCTGATGTAAGAAAACAGCATCCTTCATCAAAAGTGACTTCATACCACAGAGATGCTTGGCTCGGCACTTTGTGTTTTCTTTTTAAGAGGAACTGTCTATAACAATATTGTTCCTCTGCTCTTGTATTCTTTATATAACCAACTGAAGTGTAAGGCAAGTGTTTCTGCTAGGTATTTTCCCTTTGCTAGACTGTACTGCTGTGTGCAAATATGCTCCTAAAGATGTTATTCCATGACACTTTACATGTTTTGTGTTTAATACCTTAAGTATTAAATCACACTGTATTTTCACTTGCCACGTATTATTTTCCRAGGTATCTTTCAGGCTTTTCTCAGCTTCGTAGATGCGTTTTCAGAAATGCATAAGAAATAGTCTTAATATTCAAAATAAATAGCCTTTATTTCATAGGGGCAGACGTGTGAAATGCACCTATTTTGGAAGGTAAACGTGACAGATGATACTACATGTAGACTGATGGGCAGCAGGGTGGAACATGAATAGCATTTACTTTTCAGATCTTCAGATTTAAGAGATTACCTGTGTGTGTGTATATATGTTTATATWTTTTGAGTAGCCAGCCACTGTAAATGCCTAATATCATATATTTGCATTTTCAAGTATATCCATATTTTGAGACTTGTAGGCAATTTTAAAAGAGAATTCTGAAGTCRGAGATTAACTATAGAAAATAATATTTCTGTAATTTGTCTAATTACAGGTATCTATAGAGAGCTTTGTCTGGAATCTGTGAAGAACAAGTACGAATGTGAAATTCAAGCCTCTCGACAGCACTGTGAGGTAGTGCCAGATCTCATCTATCTTTTACTGTGTCAAACTTTCAGTGTATGTTGTTTAGGGTTGTTATTTGCTGTTTAATGCAATAGTCTTCTGATATTTCACTTCCTTAAATTGTTCAAAACATGTCAAAATTAGCTTTGTATTAGTTTGGCTATGCATTTCATTAACAGGATCTTATTAAAGGTTAAAAATACCATCTGACAATTTATTCTTTTGTCATAATTATGTAGAACAATAACTAAAATGCCTACTGTAACTTTAGTAAAATGCACCTGGTGTTTTTGGAGAGAAAACAGAGAAGACTTGCTAAGGTTTTTTTTTTTTGTATGTCTTAGCTGGTGATATGCTTGTCATTTCAAAAGCAGTTACTGGAATTAAAATGGTTTTATATACAGAGATATCTGGATGCCTAGTACAAGTACATGTGACTCTCTGACATAGTTACTGTCACCCTGACATTTGAAGCATAGTTCTCCTCAGCCTCTCTTTACAGTTGCTTAAATGTGTTTTTTTCTGAGTGGTTGATTCCATGGCTGAAGTCCAGGGCTCCAGCAAGAACATATACAACTTAAAAAAGAGGGGAAAAAAATCTTTTTTTTTTTAATTCTTTAGGAAGACATGAGATCTAATAAGGGACCACTCATAACTTTATATAAAAAGGATTGAAAAATATGCAAAAAAGTTTTTGGAGTTTTACATTGTAATGTCAGATGTGTTTCCTGTTTATGTTTTAGTAGATGTGCAAGCTTATGAAAGAGTTAGTAATTCTGTTTCCTTGAGGCTCATAGCTCAGTTGAACTCCAGATCACTCKCTTATGGAGAGCAGTTGTAACATGAAGCTGACTCTGTCCTTTTGAAACAGGCATGGGGGGGAGTATATGTTAAATGATGTAGAAAATTCATATGTGAGTGCGTTTTCATTTGTGTTTGTAGAGGACAGATGCTAATGACACTCCTGACATCAAAGGCATTATGTTAGTCTGTTTAGATCAGAAATCTTCTTTTAAAAGGGCTAACTTGCTAACTTTTTTTAAAACACTGTAGTAAGAGTATTTATTGTCAGTTTAAGGTAGATATTTTTGCTTTCACAGGTGCCTAGGTTATTTTATGCACACAAATTATTTCTAAGGAAGGAGGTGTTTTTGAGCTCTATAGAAATATGTTGTAATAAATATGGTAGTAATGAAATGAGGATGTTCTGTAAAATACTACAATTTTGTTGTTGGAGATAGGCTAATTAAAAAAAAAGGCACCTTTTTTTGATCTTTAAAGAACATGAAAAACAGAGCAAAGCTTGTGAATAAATGTTTGGTACCCATCAGGCAAATACTTTGTGTCACAGTATGGGCAGTTATTCTGGAGATCTAACTCCATTCCTTTTRGCTATTGATAGCTGATAAGCATAAATATGTTTAAGCCAAGTGCATGTGCTGTCAATAAGGATCTGGAATTTAGTACTGAGCAGCTGCTTAGAAGGATGTGCTATACATTTTATTGCTTATGAAAACCTCTACCAAAAAGTTCTCTTCCTCCTGTTGGGTCATGCTCTGTATACAAATGAATGATGGAGCTCAGTCACAAATAAATGCATAATTTCTTGCCTTTTTTTCCTTAAGAGTGAAAAGCTTCTCCTGTATGATACTGTGCAAAGTGAACTGGARGAGAAGATTAGACGGCTTGAAGAAGACCGGCATAGCATTGACATTACCTCAGGTGGATGGAAATTGCTGTTTTGTTAATCTTCTGGTAGCTGCTGATTACTTGAATGTGCACTTAGTACGTTAAGGGAGTTTCAGATTATGTAGTAGAGCGCTTTTCAGAACTAACCTATGGGCCCGAATTTAGGCTCAAAACAGACTGTGGTCCAGTAATTGTCAACATCCCTTGTGTGTCTTGAGAATATTAATCTATGGCTGCAGAATCATGCAATATAGTCTCTGGTGAACAAATACTATCTCACCAGAAAATCTGATAACTTCAGTTTTTGGATAAAAATTTGTATTTGTCGTAAAAAGTGCTTAGTGTACGAGTATTCCTAATTCATAGCATGTTGTTGTTTTCAGAATTGTGGAATGATGAACTGCAATCCAGGAAGAAAAGGAAAGATCCTTTTAGTCCAGATAAAAAGAAACCTGTTGTTGTGTCAGATATCCTTTTGCTACAGTCCTTGTTCTTTCTAATTTCTTTGTATCATTAATAACAACATGAGACGATAATGATGAGGGAAACCTAGGTGACACAACCTTTTTCTGAAACTTGAAGTCTTTTTAACTACTAGTCAAGAAAAATTAATTTGTTGCTGTTGCTTGTGACTTAAAAATATTTTTGARCTAGTTGATTTATGCAGATCATAGTAAAGTAAATAACTAGAAATCTTTCTTTTCTCCTGAGCTTTTGTKTCCTGTAGGTACTCCTTGCGTGAACTACTGGCAAAATAGTTATTCTACAGTCTTTAGGGTTTTTTTATCTCTATTTACTTAAAACTTCTGTTTAAAAGAGAATGCCTTAACTTTTCACGCCCCTATATAGTTTATATGTTACAAGATCTTGATATACTTGAAGACTGGACAACAATAAGGAAGGTAAGGTGAAAGGATAAATGAAAACCTTTGTTATTTTTTGTTTTTTTCTTGTTTTGAGTTTTGCCAATATAATAGATTCTTGTTTCATCACTGGTCATCTAATGATTCAAGTGCAAGCCGTGTTATTGTTACCTTTTTTGATTCAACACAAATCATACAGAAGAAATGGATTAGAAAATAGGAGAGAATATGCCTCAAATGGGTAAAAACATAATTTTCCACAGTAATCTGATTGTGGAACACAAAAGCTGCTTCAAGACTGTCATGATTTTGTATAGTTTGAATTAATTGGATAAAAACTCTTAAGCAGTTTAATAGCATTTTGCTTTTAAATGAAAATATTTGAGTATAATACGGTATGTTCTGATAATAAATTATTTACTTTAATAAGCTTTATATGTTTGACCTCTCACGCCATTTTTTCCTATGCTAAAGTTGTAGCTATGACTTTCCCATGTTATAAGAGACTCAGGGTTTTCAGGAAGAGAAGTTTGTTTGACCAGAAGATATATTTGAAAAAACAAACTAGATTGAGTGCACTATCTCTTCATTAAATCTTGATTATGTTATCAGTTAAACTTATGTAAGCAAATGTTTTTCTTCCTTGCTTGACCAGGAAGTTTCCTCTTGTACTGTAGCAAAAATCACTGCCTCTGAACTTATGAAACAGTGAACCTTGTCAAGTAAATTATGAAACTTGCTGGGAAATGCTTTGAGTGTCTTGCATTCTGCTTTATATTTGCAAGTGTTTCCTAAACAGGAAGTAAAATGTGATGCCTACATGAAACCATGCCTGACTGTCCTCTGCTGATGGTAGCAAGAGGAGCAGACACAAAGTAGCTTTTCCTTAGATTTCTTAGCTATTGTGCCACATGATTTAAAACAATACTAAGAAATACAAAATATTGTGAAGTGATCTTTTTGTGAACTTATTTTAAATAAGATATCCAATCTCAAACTTCTTTTCTACTTGCTGATAAATGTGATCCACAGCTCCCATGGTGGGGAGGATGGGGAAAGTGAGCTTAAGAGTCTAGCTTATGAATTCAGAGAGTAGATTGTTGATTTGTCATTTTGTGTTTGAGAATCAGAATTATGCCAGACTTTAGTTTGATATTTTGGAATGCAGAAGCAGGTATCTTGAGCTGCACAGCAACAAAACTGAAACAGAACCTCAAAAATGAACTTGTCAGTTAAAGGACTGACTAACTTTCTCTTTTGTGTTTCAAGGCAATGGCGACACTGGGGCCACACAGAGTAAAGCCAGAACGTAAGTGAGCATTGATTTCACAAAACTTGCACAGAACCTGCCTGTGCAACACTGTGAACCACACCTAGGCAGWTAACATTTATTTTAACCTGATGTACTTCTGGAGTATGGGGTGAGGTAACCAGATGATCTGGCTTTCTTCTTTCGTCTTCTCAAGTGCTCAAACTTGTCTCTGGGTTGCTTCTGATTTTGTTTATTTGTCAATAGATGGCCGGTATGTATTGCACCTGAACTGTGGAAAACAGTCAACAAAAATGCAGACTTTAAATGAGTTGCACTGATTATGTTAGCTGTGTTTATTACATATAAAAATAGGTTTACACAATGTGAGCAGAAAATTGAAAGCATCTGGATTCTAGAGGAACATTTTAAAAACTGTTTACATTCAGGGCAAGTTGCAACCCTAAAAAAGCAGAGTTATGAGAGAGATACATATGTATACATATAAATACATAAACATATATGTGTGTGTGTRTATATATATAGATGGATATATCACCTAATATTTGGCAGTAAGGTAACTACTAGGGGATGGGAATAGCAAGGAAAAGGGAGAGAAGGTAAACAGATGGTGCATTTCTTCTAGTGATGAATTACTACTGGCATATTGTGGTAAATGACCTGGTGCAATGATAAAAACTTTTTGGGATCTGCTATTGGAAGGTTTGTCTGTATCACTGCTTGTGAAAATTCACATTTGCAGAAATTAGAAGGTAGTAGGTAAGATGACTGCTGAGAGTAGAAATATAACTTACATTCTAACTCCCCGGTTATATTTATCTTGCTTCTAATTTTCTGGTGTGTTGAGTTAATTAAGGCTACTTCTGACAATGAAAGACTATTTATACTGTATGCAAACAACTCCTTAAAAGTGTATCTATGAACATAATTGACTAAGTCAATATTAAGTGGCTTTTATTGACTGTTTTAGCACCTGTAAAATTAGAAAAGCATCTACACAGTGCTAGATCTGAAGATGGAAGACTTTATTATGATGGCGAGTGGTAYGGACGTGGACAGACGATATGCATTGATAAGAAAGATGAATGTCCTACAAGGTAAAGATTATTGAGTTTATGCATCTTCCTACAGTGCTGCTAGGCAAAAAATATGATGGAGACTGAAGAATAAGGTTTATTTGAAAATACTACCACATCAATTCTTATCAATAATATTGATAAKAWTGATAAGAATAATATTGATAAGAATGGTTGCTGTTTACCTAGTTAAAAGTGTTTGTAGAAGTTGTGATGCAGATGCCTTCTTGGAGGAGGAGAGAAATGTTTGGATAAAAATTTGTCAACTGTTAACTACTGTTAACAACTACTGCTAACTACTTTCATTACAGATAAATCAAGATACTTGGTTATGAAAGAACTGTTACAAGCTCTGTTTTAAGTATAGTCATAATCTCTTGAGCCTGGCATTTGCAGCTTGTGTATTTTCATTTACTTTTGAGAAATGCTGCAGTTTTGAGGTTGTTTGAGTTTATAAGGTCCATGATTTTGTTTCTAAATTGTTCTTCTTTCTTTCTTTCTTTCCTTTCTTTTTCCTCCCATTCCCTTCCTTTCTCGTTCACTTCCTTTAGTGCCATAATAACAACAATTAACCATGATGAAGTTTGGTTTAAAAGACCGGATGGAAGCAAGTCCAAGCTATATATTTCTCAGCTACAGAAAGGAAAATATTCAATAAAGCATAATCACAACTGACACTTTCTAACCAGTTATGAAATAAATGGTCTTGCCATGCTTGATGTGCCATGGGGTGAAAGTTATATTTAATAGTGTTTTGTATTCCCCATAAATTTACAGCAGTATCTGATGTACATTTGTAGTGCTGAATGTAAACTTCATATGGATGGCCTACAGAAACCTGAAGACATTAAATCATGTTGACAGACACTTTACCTCTAAATTGGGTCCAGTGCCTAAGATATGAAGTCTGCTCTGCAAGAATAATTGCTCAGACCTTCTCATTAAAAGTCATATTTTGAAGTGAAAGGGGGAAAAACAAATTTTTATCATTGGTGATCAATTTGTGTGATAGAGGTGACCACAGTTACAACTGGTTTTGTTTTCATTTCAGTGAATGTGTCATGCTTCTYCCATGGATGTAAATTTAGCCTGTTCAGCTGTTGCTTTTGAGTTGTTTGTTAAATGCATAGCCATTATTTCATCCTGAGTGGAGTGATTTATTACAATTATTGTCCTGGACTGTTCTGCTAGTACTGACTATCATATTTTGTAAGGTTTACTATTTTGCTTGTGTTGAGGCAAAGGCAATATTTTAATCTATGTTTTTGAGGAGTGCGTTTATAGTTCAGGACCCTAGGCTATGGTAAACAAAGCATTGGTGGATGTTTTTTTTCCCCCTTTATCAGATTGTCAGCAAAACTTGTGTGTAATGTAGATGATGTTGCTCCAACTTGTATAATATGTGGCCCACAAAGGTTGATTGCTGGGGTGGTTATGTAAATAAATGTTGTTGCATGCTCTCCTTGTTTTGTCCACAGTTCTATGAAATATTATGGCTCTTCTCAGAATTAAAAATATATCCCCAGAAGWTGTGTGTCTGGGCAGATTTACACCAAGTTGTTCATCAAACATTGTTTTCCAGATTTCTATAGCTTCATCTTATTGTACACCAGAACTGTGTAATGAATCTTAGAAAGCTGAGCTTCCTTGCTGTTTATGCCACGGAAAAAGTCCTAAATTCTTAACGTTATAGTGATGTGCGTGGAGCATCTAGAATGATAGGTGGGACTGCTGAAGAATTAATTACCCGTCAGTTATGTGCACTTTAATCTCCACTTATGATGGCTCTTCTTGGAGAAAGAAAGCATCCATTTGCTTTAAATGATCACAGCAAATAAGTATTTTTATTGTAATGTGTATAAATGTTTTATTCCTATATTATTTGTCTCTTCTAGTGCAGGGTGGTAACTACTTTCCAAATGCCAAATGTCCAAAATAAGTCTTCGGTTTCTGCCGAGTAATGCTTTTCTACAACTGTATGATGTTGTTAATCAAATGTACATAAAGTATCAATTGACATATTGGCTTTTAAAAATATTAACTGTATGTATACAGTTGTTTGATAAACTTTTTGTAATAAAATATTTGTATTTTTTAACTTAGTATATAAATAAATGATCTGTGGTAGTGGACCTCTTGTATATTGCTTTGCTGTTTGATTTCCTACTCTTCTTGGAGTTCTTGTACCTTACCATGAACAGGAAAATATTTAGGTTTTCAGGAACCCTAAATCTCTTAAATGACTTAGATATCTTTTTATTTTTGAATATTTTTGTATGTGTATATCTTTTACCTTTCCATTTTTTTTCTTTCAGAAACTTTATGGAAGCACTAATCTGCACTGATGTAGATAAAGCAAGCTTAATGCTGTCAAGAATGCCTGTGCTCTAGAAGGTGCAAAAAATATGTTTGTATTAAAGAAAATGACGTGTAGTCTCTTCATTACTCTTGGTATACAAGGCCTCTGTGTTTGTTTCTTCTGTTTGTATTCCCACCTACTGCTATCATGAGACCATATCACTTTTCAAACTCAGTATGCTTTTATATGTTCAGTAGTGCTGATGATGCTAAATRGTTAATATAGGCAAACATTGAACTCCGTATACCAAAAACCTATTTGCAGTTGGTTCAGCTGGTCATTCTGCTTTACCGCTTCTTGTGTGGAACTAGTTCTGGTTTATCCCAAAAGCTAGTACTTTTTTTCCTGTGTGCGTGTTTTGGTTTTTCCTTTTGTGACATAGCTTTGACTTTGGTGACAGGAGGATGAATAAGTCTGTAGCRGAGATTAAGTCAAAATCTGAAATACCTGATCATAGACATATGTTTAAGGTGATAGGGTTAAATTATATGCAGCAATGAAAAGAAAAAGTTATCGCATACTGTTTATACCTCGAGATGTACATATCAGAGGAAGTAAAAAATAACATGCCTTGAGTAAGGAGAGKGGGGGAAAAAAGACTGGTATAGGAAAACTTACATATTTATGCTCCTCAGAAGATGCGATGGATCTACTCATCTTTTTGCATAATGGAAATATACAGTGTATGTAGTYGAACTACAATTAATTTAACCTGAAAACAGTTTAGCTTATTTTCACATGATGCTTAATGATTAAGTGGCTCGTAAAAACAAAGCCCTTAAACTTTGTAAACATTTGAATGGTGGAACTTTCTCTCACTGATTTGGTTTTAAAACTATAAAAATAATTATTTTGCAGTCTATGGGTTGTATATGTGTGTGAACTAAGGCTAACTAGCGCGCTGCTCCCATCAAGTGGCAGGTGATGGTTAAAAGCTAAAATCTTCACTTGGTTTCAAAATCAATGCCGCATTCTGCCGATGAGTTTCTCTATTTGTGTGACTTCTCTCTATATATGTAAAAGGTATTTTCAAGAACATCTAAAACATAAAGCCTTTCCACAGAAGTCGATGCTAGCCAGAGGACAGATCTGTTCTGAAACTATATAAAAAATAGTCTTAGCAATTTTCTTATGTTTTTCCTTTCTAACTGTTTTTCATCAGTCCTTGTTATTTTACAACCTTTGCTTTATTCAGTTTGGGGTATAAATTTTGAAAAGAAAAGGATCGTTATGCTTTGAAGCAAAGTAAATATATAGAATGTTTCCATTGAATGCTTTAAGTGTAGTATATACTGCAAAAATACCAAACTCTGTTTCTCAAGTAACTATAGTTTTCATAGTAATAGGACAAATGATGTCACATTTAACTTTTCATTGCTGATAATAAAAATACTGAACACCATTTTGACAAGACTTAAGAAGACTGGTGTCAGAGAGGGTGAACTGAGAATGAGTCTGCATGGAGGTATGTTCAAATCCAAACAGGAATGTGTGTTAGGGCTTCCTTTGTCTTCASGAAACAAAAGGACTGTAGTTGGTAAGTTGTTACTGTGAATTCCATTGTTGATAGTGCTACAGCTTTCCATAAATTAAATTTAAATTTAAAAAAATTAAATGTCAAATAACTAATCCTGTTTTCAATCATATCAATGTAAAAAGGATGGGATATGATAGGTAATGACAGTGTTGTTTGAAGTGTATTCAGTGGAACCTCTCTTGCTGTTTGTATGTTGTCATTCATTTATCCGTGAAGTCTGGTTTTGGTTGGCAATATCCTTAACTGATTTTCTAAATCTATATTAAGCTGTTTTTCTAAGTGTCAGGGCATTTAGAAAAATATGTTTGTGTTTTGAATGTAGCACAACTTAGTTCCCATAATGAGGAACAGTGGGAAAGGGAAGTGTTATTTGGACTAACAGTTTTCACAACAGCCATGTGGTTTGGGTTGACTTTTTATGCAAGTCAAAAACTACACATCAGATCTGTATTCAGTTTGCAGGGTGGTGGTGGGGATGTTGTTTCTCTTAGAATCAGGGGCAAGAAAAATAGATTTTGGTTTTGGTAAATAACAGATTTACCAATACTGCTCCCAATCTTCTGGAGGAATTTTTAAAGTACTACTGTGAGAAGAGCTATTCTGAGAATGAGAATTGGTAAGGAGAAGATGCATGTTCAATAGGCATTGTGTTAAAGGCTAAATTCATCAGTGCTTTTTTCCTCATCAAGCTTGCCTGAGCCTTTCACTGCTCCTCGTGTTAACTAGGTGCATATGCTGTGCAGAAAGCATGTTGCATCTGAAAGCTGGATGCCAACACGCAATGGCCAAGCAAGCGTTGCTTTATAAAAGCACTTGATTATTTTCAAAGGAGGCTTTTCACAAGGCCCTTCTAGGTTAGGGACACAGTTCCCATTGGAATCAAGATCAGATCTTACTGATCTTACTTCATCACTATCTTACTTCACTCACCCGAGGTGCCTTAGGGGCCGTGCTGTCCAGAAGGATGCTTGAGGGTGCTCGATGCACTTTCACAGAGTCCTTTCATAGTGACTGCCTGATGTCTGGAAATAACCTCAGTGTTTCTGCAGCAAATCTGCAGGTCAGCTGCGTGACACATGTGCAGTAAATCAGCATGGGATTTGGTGCTTATGATTTAATCAAAAGCACAGCATGTATTCAGTAAGCCAGATATTTCCTGGAAATGCCAGCATAACTGTACTTGCATTTCATTATATATGCTCTTTTTTGTCTGTATAAAAAATTACATACTGATGAAACTAATGTGACTTAACATTTTCAGATTTTTTCCTGTCCATTCTGACTTTCTGATAAGATAGTTCCAGAAAACGATGTGCTGATCTGACTCCAATTTTGATGTGTTAGCTCCTGTAGACCTCTTCTTTAGACATCTAAGTTTCCCAGAGGTTATATGAAGAATTTGAGTGATGAAACTGAGCCTGAAAGATCATCTAGCTTAGATTCAAGAATGGCTTTGCAGACAGATTTTAGAGAAATTTTATATTTGTCATTTCTAGGTGTTATAAGTGTCAACATTATTCTTTTAGTATGGCTCTTGAATATGAAAGAAATAAATATGAAGGACTCAGGCCACTTGTACTGTCCAAATTCTGCTAAAATAGAGGTTCCCAGTTTTAAAATATCAGACATTACTTGCATTGTGAAGTCTGACTTGCTAGATTTTAAGTCTCATCTGTATTTTGGAAAGTAGTAATTTTTTTGAACAGTAAAAGCTAGAGAAAACACCCCTTATTTAACAGCTTACTAGCTTCGGTAGAACTTGTGTCTTTCTTTAGCATGTCCAGCAGGAACATCTTCAGATATCGTCACTGCCTCTGTGAGCAGCAGCATCAAGCTGGAAAAAGGTAAGACCTTCCCCCCGCCCCCATAAACAAAAATAAGCTGCCTTATTTCCTTGACCAGGAGAAAATCAGTGGATCTCTTAATTTCTGTAAAGAAACTGATCTGAAGCAATTCAAAGAAACAGGAATATTGAAACTGCCTTCCTAAATAGGTAGTAGGACTCCCAACCCTTGCTCTTCCTTTCTCTAGAGATGTATATTGATGGAGGCCTGCAGGTGGCAGTAAATTTATATCAAAATTACTCAGCAATAGTTTTAGATTTTTCTATTTCAAGACATAATTAGTTTTATTACTCAGTTTCTTGTAATTGTAGTAGTGTAGCAACTGGTTTTAATCCTATTTCATACTAATTAACGGAAACTTCGAAAGAATCGAGAGTGCTTAGTGTTCTAAAGAGGATTATCTTTTACAACTACCGAAAGAAAAATTCTATGCAAAGGCTTAAGAAGGTACAGCGATGGATTATATACTTTCTAGTTGCTATAGAAACCAAATATATAATTAAAGGAAAGGAAATATTTCACTGTTACACTGATGAAAGTACTTAGAAAAGGATGGATGAAAGTTCTTAGAAAAGGTTGGATAATGAATGAATGCATGTTTTATATTTAAACCAAGAAACAAAACTGATGATTTTTCTAATACACAGCATCTGCCTACTGAAGTTTTCTGTGTTTAGTTGGCTGAAACGTAAATAATTTGTTTCCTAATGTAGATCTATAGAAAGGAGCATCAATAATAATAATTAGTAGTGTAGTGTGGACTCAAGTCAATACTGTTACAAACTACTAACATACTTAGTATGACACCCTTATCATGAGATGAAATCTCAAGCAAAAGTTTTAGAAAAAAAAACCTGAATATGTTGCTTTGTACGTCAAGTATTTAATTGTGTGCTTTAAAATAGCTTAAACAGATTATGTCAATGTTACTTATTCTATAAAAGCATATTTACAGATTCATATCCTTGGTCTAAGGCCTGCACTTGCTATTTAAAGCATTTTATGTACATCTCATTCAAAAGGTGATTCTTAGAAGTAATAGAATGGAGACATCTTACAAGCTCATAGTAACACGTTTGAACTCTAAATCTTTTTTTTTTTCTTTCTGATTGCTTCTGCAATCAAACTAGTATGAGATTTTCATAACAGAAAATGTCAGAAGAATATCTGAATTTCTGAATCAAATCGTAAAATACTGTAGGTACAGAATGCATTTTAAATGAACTCTAGCAGTTAGTATCAGCTG